GTGTGTGTGTGTGTGTGTGTGTGTGTGTGTGTGTGTGTGTGGTGCATCCTGTCCGCAGCTGTCGACTCAGGAACTAAAAAAGCTAGGAAACTGAAAATTTAGGGGAATGTTCTTCGTCCACATATAGCTCAGCAAAATTTAAATTTAGCCTTCCCAGGGCCCCAGGTATCACGTACGGCCCCGTAAAAACTTTGGCGGGGAAACTATTAACTCGGGAACACGAAAGCTAGGGGGCTGAAACTTTAGAATAGCCCCTCCTGCCCACGTACAAACCTTCAAATTCAAGGGTTCGTACGTGGGCAGAAGGTGCTGCCCTAAAGGGGGATTCATCGTCTCCATAAAAATTTTGGCGGGAGAAATCATTATCTTGGGAGATAGAAGAGCGAGGAAGCTGGAAATTTCAGGATGATATTTTCTGTCTAAGCAGGGACTTCACAAACTCAAATTCAGTTCCTAAGTGTGCCGAAGTCTCACGTACGACCACTTGAAAATTTTTTCGCATAAATTACTCGAAAGCTAGAAAATTAGGAGGTTGGAATTTCGAAAGGATTTTCACTCCCCGAGGTCTAAAATTCAGCTTTTTCTTGCCGGTGCGTGAAATTTTTAGTCGAAATTTCCGCAACTTAGGAATCAGGCAACATTGCAACTATTTTTGCATAAACCAAAATTGCAAAGTAATGAAAATCCTTTGCAAGCAAACGTTCGCTGGACGGAACTGCGCAAAACCCTTGATCGCACCGGCTGCCCTGACGTGCATAGCTATTTATTTTTTGTTAAGACTATTTTTTGGGCACTTTTATTAAGACTTTTTGTGCGAACTGATTTGTATTCGCAAATTACAGTTGTTTTGACACTTATTTTTTGCACTTTGAGGTGGAAAATGAAAGTATCGCAAGCCGCGACGGGCGCATCAGACCAGGTGACCAGATACTACAGGTTTCCGTTTCTTTGCTGTCGTGTATTTGTATAATTTCCAAGCAGTTTCAAAATTTTAACGTGACTGTAGCACCAGTCTGCATTTCGATCTGCTGCAGGTAAACGGAGAGACAGTTTACAACCGTACAAATGCTGTTGAGCGGTTTCAAAGAAGTGATAATGAAGTATCCCTTCTGCTTGCACGATCCACTGAGGTTACATTTGTTGCTAAGCTTCTGGTCACTGAGTTCAGAAATCGAAATTTGAATGTTTCAGGCCAGAAACTGTTATCCGATTTGTTAATGGTGTCGAAAAGTCCAGTAACTCGAAACCCATATATCATTTTAAATGAAATGCAAATGCTCAAATACACAGCGTTTTACTGTATCTGGATCTGTTTTTTCTCAGTCCCTTTCACAATTTTACCTGCTTCGAAAGACATCCACTTTATTTTTTTCATTTCCTGAAATCCGCCGCATCGAAAAAGCTTTTCTGTTCCCACAAAATTTCCATTTCTGGTTTTTATGCGTTTTTGCTGTGCAGCACTATAGCGCTGCTATAGCCAGCGAAAACACATGTTGTCGAGAGGCTGTCTGTGTATGTGTTCGGAAACGAGCGCATTCTGTCACCCGCTTTCATCTCAGCAACCAGGGAAGCTGGGGGGACTGAAATTTTGGATATATGTTCCTACCCCGTGTGTCACTCTCCTGTTTCAAAATTTTTCCCCACACGCGACTAGACCGCGCGTATGGGCCCCCGAAAAAAATATGCAAATTTCTTTGGCGGGAAACGATTTTGGGAATCAGGCAAAATAAAAAGCTGAAACTTTGCAGGGATATTCTCTGTGCATGTGCAAGCTAAAGATTTTAAACTCAGCTTTCGCTCACGCTTCTGCAGTGCGTACTACCACGTCAAAGTCTGCAACTTGGTACTGTGCTAGCTCGAAAACTTGCCGGAAAACAGTGGCTGAAATTTTGTCAGCACATTTGTCACCCATATTGGAAATCGTATATCTAGAATGAGTACCGATTTGCACTTGCGCCACAAGCTGGGGAATTTCAAAGATATTTATAGCGAAGTGGATATTTCGCTTACTGGACAAGCTGCGAGGCTGAAAACTCGCTGGAATATTCCACTTTCAAGTGCGGCCTTAATTCCGCTTAGAGGCAAAATTCTCTGCAGGTGGGCGTAAGAAATACTCAAATTTACCGAAAAATCGGAAAGGAGTGCGTTTAGCAACGAACGACCGCCCTCATGCAAATGTGTAAATGAACATCCAGCTCATTTGTATACTTGGATTTTTTAATCAATGACCGCTCTAGCAACACTTCCACTTTTAGTGAACTGGGAATTTGCATTTTTTTTTTTAAATTTGCATTTTTCATTTTTTCAAAAAGCGGGCATTTATCGAAAAAACGACCGGGCTTCATGCAAAAAACTGGTAATAATGTACCTGGAAGTCCATGCGATTCTATAATGCAACACCCTCATCCAAACCGATACCCATTTTGCTGCATGCCGGAAGAAACCAAAGCACGACCAATGTGAGCCCAAGTGTTAGGCTGCAGCGCAGGATTCATTCCTGTTATTAGCGACCCGCGAGTTCAAAAACGCATCATCGTACCGAGAAGCTTGGTGCGTTCCGGTCTGGCTTTGGGAATATTCTCGTTTTAGACCATGCGCCCTGTTTTTTGTTTTGCCGAAATTTCTCACTGGCGTCAAGTTAAAAGTCAAATTTCCTTCACTTCCTTCTAAATTCCGTGTCCTATTACAGTTAAAACACCTTGATGAAACTCACTCTGTCGCACATGTCAAGAGTAACCACTTGCTCACAAGTCTGCCGATGATGCCGTCCTCTACGGGTCACTTAAAAGCACGCTGATAGAGGTTTCACACTCTGGCACAACAAACATCAGCACCAATTTATCATCGAAGCGAATTAACATTCAATAGAAATATTGGCTACTTGCTGCTGAAATCGAACAACTTCCAATCTGAGAGCAGCACTGGACTTAGCTAGCTGGCTATTGCTTCCGTGATGTTAAAATTATTCTCTAAACTCTTTAAGGGAGAATTCGAGTTACTATTGAACCCAAGTGGAACAAATTGCAATGATGAAGATAAGGACCCTAGCTCGAGTAATTCTACACTTGAAAAGGTAAGACTTCAATTTTTTTTTCAGAGTTGAATTTAAAGGCCCTAAACTGCGATCTTCAAATCTCAATTTTTGATGCTCTGTTTTGCTTATTTTTTACAGTCGACATAATTAAAATTGGAGTTTTTTGAAATACTTGCGATTAGAGTGAAAGAATTTTAGGGCCGTCAAAAAATCACCGTTTTCATTTGTTAGTGTAAAAGCCCGCAGCTAGGAGCAGAAGTAGCAGCATAGCGCAGATTTTTTGAATAGAAGGGACGCACGTTTTAGAGATTTAGTGATTTTTCGAAAAAGCTATTGGAAACTAAGTTTTTATGTTAACCGCATAACTATATCTATTAAGATCTCTCCCAATGAGTTTCGAAGTCAGTTGAAAGTAGTTTGAGTGGTAGCATATTCCAGTAATAGCCATGCGCAGGCAAGACTGCCGGTGGCTCCTTTTTCCGCGAAGTGCTTGAAACAAAGTGATAACGATTCGCTAGCATGGGCTATTATCAATTTGCCATCAAAACGAATGGGCAAATCGTGAAAGGACTGGACCGGTGGTGGACTCTTATCCTTGATTTATTGTATATGAGCAGCACTTCCTGTCATTATATCAAGTGCCCTCCAGTGCATGAGTGTATATGGAAATAAAGCACATTATGATCCGATCATGCTTTCGTGTACGTGTGTCTCGACAAAACTCAGTTTCAAAAAATGAAAAGCTGGGATTTGGAAATCCAGTCAGGTCTCAGACTTCACTTTATCCTGGTTTACGAATTCAGAATCGAATTTCCGCGTATGAGTAATTTTAAAGCGAAGCAAGCTAGAATTTTAAAATATTTTGTTGTCTAGTAAGCTACGTGAAAGTGAGATGTATGTGTACAAATAAGCTTTAAAACCCCGTGGATTTTTTACCCGTGTTTGCGCGACCAAATTAAGGATTAATATTATTAGCTGTAGAATGGTGGAGACGTGAGTTTGAGTATTTTTCTTGCGCTGGATCGCTGTAAAACAAATCGAGACAAAGTTATACACTGACGTCTGCTAACTGGACATCGCAACACTTAATCGCAAAAACGTATACTGCACCGATCACCAGTGTGCACTGCTACTTACAAATCGCCATTTAACAAAATTTGCTTTTAAAATAAATATCAAATACACTCTGTAAAAATTTTGAAATATTATTCCTTGTCTGAACTCAAAAATTCGTTTGAAAAAAGCAGGATAATGTCTTTTGGTGGCACAACTGTGTTGAAGTGAAAGCCAAAAAGGAATCTGTTTCATTAAAAACACACAAAATGAATCAATCAGCCAGAAATCCTTGACGAATCATTATTGCTCGATGTCCAAAAAGTTGGATTTCGAGTGAGTCACACTCGGTGTTATGAGATTAAAATAAATTTGACATGTTTTCTTTTTATTTATTTCAAGCATTATAAATTGCGATTTACAAAATGTTATGAAAAATTCCAAGCGACATATTCCCTGAGGAACAGAGGAGACGCAAAGACGGAAAGGGAGAACAGGTGATGCGAAATTTGAAAGAAAACATCAATTTTTTTGGACGCACAGGAAGAAGTAATACCTAAATACTAAAAAATTTTATTAAAGAAGAATTTAAAGAGATATTAATTTTATAAAAAGTGCAAAAATTTTGCTTCTTGAAAACATGAAAGAGGGCACAGACTTTTGCATCACTAGTTTCGTAATTCGCATTTGGACAACATTTACAGTTTATGTGTCGGATATTTGGGTGTTTTAGGAAGGTCGCGTGGCTGTCAAATAACTCCAAATATGTTATATTTCAGGACTCTGGTTTATCGCGGATGACAGATTCAGATCCGGAATTGCTACCTGCCCCAGTCTCAAGCAGTTTAAATGCATCCACTGATTCCTTGAATGATTTGCCGACTGTTACCGACAGAAGTTTGAGAAGGTAGAATACAAATATAAATGTAGAAAAGTAGAACAGATGTAAATCGGAGTGCATGGTCTCACATCTTCAGGCTATTATTGGTTAATAAACGCTAATGGAAGGTGTAGGATTTTCCCTGAGCATGAGCGTTGGTCTAAATCTGTGTTAATTAGAAGCAAAATCGATGGAAACTAAAGCTATTCGTCAGATGCTTCAAACATTTTTAATGTTTGAATTGCTATGAAGACTGAAAATGCTGTTTTTAAAAAATGTGGATTGATTTGTAGATGTGCAAGCGAGTCTTCGCTGGAGCGCGAGTTGGCGTCGTTGCACCGCGAGATGGAAACTATCCGTCTGGAATGTGATAAACTCATTCTGAAACATAGTGACAACGAACGCAGTTCAGTTGCCCTGGCATGTTTTTTTTTTTTCAAAAGCACGCTAATTTGTGGAGGAAGTTTTGACAGTGCGAATATTTTTATTAATGTGAAAATGTGACTGATGAGAAATTCAAGTCAGTGAGGCGCTGAAAGAATCTGATTTGAGCACGATAGATTTTGCAGTAACTTACAGGTGGCACAAACAACACTAAATGATCAGAAATGTGAACTGAGTGACGAAGTGAGTGATGCGAAATGTCGACTGGAAGATACATCAAGTGCGTACAACACCGGAGAATCGTGCCGCAGCACACCGTTGAAGTCGGACTTTCAAATCAAAAAGTGATCTATAGGACCAGTAACCATTGTTCCAGCTAAAAATTCATTCAAAAAAGATGTAGAAGCGTAAATCAGGACGACTCTAAAGGCTATGAACGTGACAGTTACGACTACTAAGGTCCTTTAGGCATGCTAAGACTAACTTACCGTTTGAAAATGCTTCTTGAGATTACTCTGCTGCAGTTTCGATTATGCATTTGTACGTGCATGTGTGCACCAGTCGCTTAAATTAGCAGATAATTTTCCTTCAAATTACTGAAAAATTTGCCAGCTGCAGTAGCTGGAGAAGCACGCAGTGAAATAAAGTGATCAAGGTGTCAGAATCATTACTGAACAGATAGACAGGTTGCCCAAGAGTAAGGAAAAAAATCTGCTGAAATGCTGATTCAAACGCGCAGCTAGATTTTTCTAAACTGCTGTTCTGGATAAAAGTGAAATTTTTTCAGGAACAATCGCTGCATGAAACGTTATCCGGCGGTATTAGAGGGTCCGATTGGTCATATAACTCGCTGTATAGATTCTCAGAAGCCGACTACATCACAAATTCCAAAAGTTAAATTTAGGTAACATTTTACAAGGAGTTTGCAGCATGTTACTGTAACCGAAACTAAAATATGTTCAGTTGGGCAAGTTATTTGGACGTAAAAAAAACTATACAAGTCACGAATCATTCGCAGTATTGTGTGATACGTGCATGAAAATGATCATGCCTGCGAAGAATGATGCCTATAACGAAGACTTAAAGTAGAGAACAACGCGCGCCCCGGACAAGATCCTGCTTTTACTGGCTGCGTCTCGATAATATATGGAAAGCAATCTAAAAAATTATTGCTGTTTTTATGCAGTACGCCCAAAATGGTCCAAAATCCGAATTTTAAGGGGGTAGTGAGAGAATACTGAAGTTGAAATGCTGAAAATCAAGGATTTAACTCCGCTGGTGGGACAACTAATCCCTCCATAAAACGTCCATTTCTTCTGATGGTAAAGGTATCGGTGCTTGTCGGTGAGCTAAAACCAGCATCTCTCGGAGAAGGAAACTATCAAGAGCTTTTCGTGCTGCCATGCACGCTATTTCCGAGTGTTTGTGCCTCTCAGAGAGAGTGGACGCTGAAAAGATTTGGACTTCTGACTTTCAAGTGTAGTATGTGAAGCGATTTGTGAAGTGTAGACGAGGTGAAGGATTAATAATCCGGCTCTGAAATTAAATAAACTCCTGTATCCACTTTTTCATAAGAGTCTTATGAAAGGGTCGAAATTTTACATGTTATATTCCTTTGTAAAGGTCTGCGAGAACAGCGCAAGAATTGCAAAATATAACTTTGAAAGCAGAGTTTAAAGCCGATAGCAAACAGGGTTAACATACCAATCATTGACACCAGTCTGACGTCCTCACATTAACCATTTTAGAATAAGCTGTGCAGAGAACGAAAATTGGAAAAAAAAAAAACGAAAAATGCGCTGCAGGAAAGGAATAACACTTCCCCTAGAGTCAGCAGCGGCATGCACTTTTGCCATGAACTGCTGCAGACTCGCAGTAGATTTATCTCGTTACA